GGCTTCATCTCCCTCCACTCTCTTTTTCTCCTTTTTTTTAGGCCTCAGAGTGTGTCACCACCTTTGCCCACCAGACTCTGGAATATGAAATTGCCCCTGGTAACTAATTCCAAAGCTTTTTTTTTTTTTTTTTCCCTCCCTCTCCTTGTTGCCATTGAATATTTCCCCCCCACACACACACACACACACACTCCCCCCCTTACAGGTCTGAACTGACCCTTCCCTGTGCTGGGAACAGGACATTTGGGAACTGGCACCTCTTTTTTCTTTGGGGCCACCACAAGGACATAATTCCCTGGAGTGATGTTGGTCCATCAGCTTTTCAGGGAGCCCCTGAAAAACAAAACAAGATGAAGGGAGAAAATTGGAGCTGAGCATTGTCAGGAGGTGACCTGGGAGGTCTGGCTCCCTCATCCTGTGCTCTGGGGGACGTGGTTTAGCAAAGGGTCAAGCTGAGCCTGATCCAGATGTCCTTTTCGTTTCCATCTCCCTCCCTTCTGGGAACAAATCCCTGCAGAGGAATCATGGTGTTAAGTCCAGACATAGATTAGCACACAGGTTTATGTCTCAGGGGGGCTTATCCCCCCCTTCCTCAGAGACCAAACCTTTTCTGGGGGGAGCTTGGCATTATTTGAGCCTGTTTTTTGGGGTTATTTTTGAACCTCTTCTCCTTTTCCCTCCTCCTTCTCCCCTAACCCCCTCTCTGGTTTCCTGGCCAGGAGTTTGTTTAAGCTTTTTCCCATCTGTGTCTCATTGTAAAAGCAAGAGGAGCCAGTTGAAAACCAAGTGATTTCTCCTTATAAAGCCCATATTTGGCTCCAGACTCTTTCTTTAAAAGCCCCAACGGTGACTCCTCTGGGAAGAGAAGAGGTTTGTGGACACTTGGACTCCAGTCTGCTGCAGATCCACCCCCTGCCCCAGCCCCAGGTGCCCCCTCAAGCTCTCAAATGCCATTTTTTGATGGCAATAAAAAAGGTTTTGGGTTTGTTTTGGCTTTTTTTTTTTTTTGGTGGTGTTTTTTTTTTTTCTCCCCACTGCTCCAGTTGTTTTGGGAGAGGCTTGAGGGCAGAGCAGAGGCCACAGCTGCTGTGGTGCTGGTGGTGACACAGCTGTCCTGGGGCCCTGGTTTTAATCCTAAAGCTGAGTCTGGTGCTGCTGAGCCATGCTACACTCCTCTCCTGCCAGGTGGAGGGCTCGGGAGGGTTTGTGGGAACAGGGGGTGTGGGAAGAGGTTGGTTCCTTCTCAGCAGTTGGTGCAGGAGGTGGGGGGATGGATGGTGGGTCTGTCTGCATCCCAGGTGGATCTGTTCTCCCTTCAGACAGGCACTGTCCAAGTTGAGAGACCCTGAGTGGAGCTTTATTCCTCTTTCCTGCTCCTGACAAATTCCTGCCTCCAAAAAGAAGGGGAAAAAAAACCCAAACAAACAAAATCCATCCTTTTTCTCTGGGATGGGCCTGGGGCTGAGTCTGCCCCAGGGACCACACGGAGCTCTCAGGGCCTCTCATCCCTTCACCAAACACTTCCCAGGTGGTTTCCCACTGGGATGGGAAACACCTGCCCCCCTGGCTGCTCCACCAAGTCCCTCCATGGAACCCAAACCCTGGATTTCAGCCCAAACTGTGCCTGAATTTGGGGACAGCTTGGGAGCCTGGAGGCTTTTGGGATGTGGGGCTCCCTCTGCCCCCTCTGATTCCCAGACCTGGGATTTGCTCCATCCCAGGTTTAACCCCTTTTTAATTCCCTGAAAGAAAAGATTGTGCAGATACTTCTGCAAATGGGTCTGTGCAGATAAATCTGCACATTAATACCTGTGCATTTCAAGGTGCATTTACACAGAACACACAGAGCTCTGCTTCCAGGGAACTCCCTGTCACCCCACGGGTGTTTTTTACTTAAATCAGAAGATCAGAAATGATGTGGAGACCTCAGGAGGGTGGTTGGTGAAGGGCTGAGCTCCTCTGCAGCCTCTCTGGGCCTTGGCCTTTCTGAGCCAGCCCAGAAAGGGCTTAAACTGAGAGTTTGGAGGCACAAAAAGCTTCATTTTCAACCCGAGGTGGGGCCTGCAGGAGCTTTTCAGTGGTTGTTCAGGGGCTTGACCACCCTTGGGGTGCCTGAGGTTGGATCAGGACCTTCTGCATTCCCAGACCCAAGCAAAGCAGATGAAGTAAAACCCACATCTCTAGGAATAGTTACTGTTCTGAGGAGTTGCTGGTGGAGTCAGGTTGGGAAAGACCTTCAGGGTGATGGGGGGGTGAGGATGGAGGGGTGAGGAGGTGGTGAGGAGGGAGAGGTGAGGATGGAGGGGTGAGAGGGGAGGATGGAGGGGTGAGAGGGGAGGATGGAGGGGTGAGAGGGGAGGATGGAGGGGTGAGAGGGGAGGATGGAGGGGTGAGAGGGGAGGATGGAGGGGTGAGAGGGGAGGATGGAGGGGTGAGAGGGGAGGATGGAGGGGTGAGAGGGGAGGATGGAGGGGTGAGAGGGGAGGATGGAGGGGTGAGAGGGGAGGATGGAGGGGTGAGAGGGGAGGATGGAGGGGTGAGAGGGGAGGATGGAGGGGTGAGAGGGGAGGATGGAGGGGTGAGAGGGGAGGATGGAGGGGTGAGAGGGGAGGATGGAGGGGTGAGAGGGGAGGATGGAGGGGTGAGAGGGGAGGATGGAGGGGTGAGAGGGGAGGATGGAGGGGTGAGAGGGGAGGATGGAGGGGTGAGAGGGGAGGATGGAGGGGTGAGAGGGGAGGATGGAGGGGTGAGAGGGGAGGATGGAGGGGTGAGAGGGGAGGATGGAGGGGTGAGAGGGGAGGATGGAGGGGTGAGGACCAGGGAAGTCCAACCTTGACAGTGTCTCTCTTAAAGCCTCCTCCTCGGTTCAGGGGTCTCCTGCAGTGGTGCTAAGGGTGGTGTTCCTGAGGGTTTTTTTTCCTCTTTTCCTGCAGCACATGGTGATGAGCTTTAGGGTGTCAGAGCTCCAAGTTCTCCTGGGCTTTGCTGGAAGGAACAAGAGTGGGAGGAAGCACGAGCTGCTCAGCAAGGCCCTGCAGCTGCTGCGCTCGGGCTGCAGCCCGGCCGTCCAGATGAAGATCAAGGAGCTCTATCGAAGGAGGTTCCCCAGGAAGGTCCTCACCCCTTCTGACCTCTCCATGCTCCACCTCCCAGGGGGACAGCTCCCCTCAGCCACCACCCTGGCCCAGGGCACTGTTTGCCACCTGCCCTATGAGCCTGGGACCAGCAGCTCCGGGCCGGCCGCGCTGCTGCCGCCGGTGCCGGCGCTGGCACCCAAACGTGAGGGGGACATCCAGCACCTGTCACCTGCACACCCCGTCCACCCAGATGTCAAGATGAAGAGGTTGCCCTTCTATGATGTCTACGACGAGCTGATCAAACCCACCACCTTAGGTAGGAGATGTGGGAAACTGGTCTTTTCATCCCCCTGATAATCGGGTTGTGACAGGAGCGAAACTGGGGTTGGTTTTATAGAGAGTCATGGGCTGGGTTGGGTTGGGTTGGAGGGACCTTCAGGAGCATCTAGATCCAGCCCCCTGCATGGGCAGGGACACCTCCCACCAGCCCAGGCTGCTCCAAGCCCCATCCAACCTGCCCTTCAACACCCCCAGGGATGGGGCAGCCACAGCTTCCCTGGGCAACCTGGCCCAGGCTCTCCCCACCCTCCCACTCCACAATTCCCTCCTCAGCTCCAACCTCAGTTTTATATCACCTGTTTTATTCTGTTATTTTCACCCTGGGGTTTTCTTTCCATTCTGAACTGCAAAGCTCCCTCTGGAGTCTCCAACCTTGGAGACATCCCAAACCCCCCCTGGACATGTTCCTGTGGGATCTGCTCTAGGGAGCAGAGGGGTTGGACTGGATGATCTCCAGAGGTCCCTTCCAACCCCCTTTGGGTCCTGATCCCAAGGGAACAAACCCCTGGATCTGTTGGCACAGCCTCCCTTGCCCAGCAGATGAAGAAAGAAATGCCAGGAGAGTTAATTGTTAATGAAGAGAAGGGGTTTGTTGTTCATCAAGCAGCTGGTGCTGCAGCTTCCAGCAAAACTGCTTCTTCCAAATCCTCTGCCACCTTCTGAGCCCTGATCCTCCCTGAATTGTTACAAATACAATCCTGAATGATCCCAACATGTAAAACCAATGGATTGTTTGAGTCGTGGAGACCCAACTGGGTGCAGGTGGGAGGTTGGACCCACATCAGTGGGAAACTTGAGGGACCTTAGGAGCAGAAAAGGTGGCAAAAAGGGCAAAGCCTGTTTATAAAACGGGGGGGTGGGGAAAGCAGGTTTTGCTTAATTCCAGCAAAATTGTGGCACTTGTCATTCCTAAAATGCCAGTGGGGAGCTGGGCAGGACAGGGTGAGCCCTGGGAAGGGCTGCTGGGTCTGGGGGTTCTGCTGCAGCCCCCACTTGGGCCCAGGGAAGGTTTGATTCTGGTTTGTAGAGGAAGTTGCAAGTTGTATTTTGACTTTAGGTTGAGCCCTTCTGGTCTGGTCCCAGTGGATCCACCCAGTGGGTGGTTTTGCCCTGGGATTGGGGCTTGTTTTTGCTTCCATACAAAGAGACTAATAAGTGGGTCTGAGCTCCAACCAAAACCCACACACTTTGGGTTGGTTGTTGTGGGTTGTTTTTTTTAGGGGGGTTGGTTTCTTTTTTCCCTAAAATTGGCCTTTTGTTCAGGTTTGGCTTCTTTCCCTCCCCCAGCCAACCTGGGCTTGAGCCTCTTCCCCCCCAACATGGGATCCCTGCTTGGCAAAGAATGGGATTTATTTTCTCTCCCCCTGATAAAAATCCCTTGTTCCTGTGTTTGTTCTTGAACTTGAAAGAGTTTGTGTTGAATTCCCAGGGGATCCTGGGCCTGTATTTTTGGCCTCTGGTGGTTTGTGTGTGTCTCTCTCTCCTCCCTTCATCCAAACCTCCCCTTCCCATCCCTTTATTTTAGTGGCTTGGGGCAGTTTTGCTAGAAATACCCAGAGATGAGGGGCCTGGTGCCAGAAAAATGCCAGGAAGATGCAAAAAGTGGGAAAGAAGAATGAAAAGAGGGTTAGGGAGGATGATGATGGGTGAAGGTGGTGACGTGGGGTGAAGGCTCTAGCTGTGTTTGCTGCAAGGGAGGAGGATCCAGGTGTTGGAATTCCCACTCCTCATCCTCTCTGGCACCAAGTGGCTTCACCCTGGAGCAGAATCAGGATCTGAGGAGTCAAAAGTTCAAGCAGAAGGTCCCAAGATGGGTCAAAATGCCTCTAAATTTCTCAGGTCGGGTCTGTCACTGGGGAGGGGGGGGAGGAAGGTCTGGCAGGAGCCCAGGGCCGCACATTCCTGGCCTTCCTGAGCTGCAGGAGGCTGGAGAACCAAACCCCTGCCAGATTCCTGAGGAAGCTGCTTCCTGGGGAGGCCACACGGGGTGTCCCTCAGGGCAGGGCTGGTGGCACCAGGACTCAGCTCATCTCTTCCCCCTGGGATGGTCCTGCTGGGGCCACACGAGTGTCACCAAACTCCTTGGAATCCAGAAAGGATCCAAATGGGAGGATTCCACCAAGGAGCTGCTTTCAGCTCCAGCTTCTCCTGTCTCCCCCAGGGATGCTCTGTGTCCCCAGGGGTGCTCTTTGTCCATTTGGGGTGCCTTGTGTCCCCCCCAGGGATGCCCTGTGTCCCCTCAGGGTGCTCTTTGTCCCCCCCAGGGGTGCTTTCTGTCCCCTTGGGGTGCTCTGTGTCCCCCCTGGGATGCTCTGTATCCCCAGGGATGCTGTCTGTCCCCTCAGGGTGCTCTGTGTCCCCAGGGATGCTCCATGTCCCAGGAACAACAACTGTTCCTCATCACCTCTCCCAACAGGTGTAACAACCAGGCCAGAAGAGGCCAAAGTGGCTCTTCCCAACCCCCCTGGTTGGGACACAAGACACCCCACAAAACATAATTAATGTGTCACTTTAAATTAATGAATAGTAAGTAAATAACAGTGATAAGGAGCAGCCCCTGGCTGGGGTGAGGGGGGCAAAGACCCAGCAGCTTCACTGAGGGAGGTGGTTCAGGTCAGGGTAGGAGAGAGGGGTGGAAATCCTGGTTTGTTTTCCCATGGATCTTGCATCAAACCTTTTTCCTGTGCTCGTTGCTTTAACCCTTCCCTGCAATGCCAGGGTGTCTCCCATTCCAGGGTGTCTCCCATTCCAGGGTGTCTCCCATTCCCTTCAGCCAAGGACACAGGGGTTATTCCCTAGATCCACCCTCCCTGTGCTCATCTGTCCCAGCAGAATCACCAGGAGCTGCTCAGTCCAATCACCACAGGAATGAGGAGAATCCCAAGGGCAGGGCCTGACCTCTGGCATTCCCATGGCTTCATTTGGAGCTCACTCTTCCCACTGAGCCCTGGGAAGGCTCTTCCTGGGCTCAGGAACCTGTTCCAGCCCCAGGATGTTCATTCTGATGAGTTTTGCCTTTTAGCAGATCCTGTCTCTGAAAACCTTGGTGCCTGCAGAGCTCAGAGTGACTTCATGCTGATGTCATTTGTCTGGAATTCTGTTTTCCAGCCTCAACCAGCAGCCAGAGGTTTGAGGAAGCTCATTTCACCTTTGCCCTCACACCCCAGCAGGTCCAGCAGATCCTCACCTCCCGGTAAGACCCCCTGGGGTCCCTGCCTTCAAAACCTACCCAGACTGGGGGCAAAAAGGGGAAATCCCTCCATGTCTGTGCTGCCCACAGCCTGGAGACCTGCAAAGTGCAGTTGTGGTGGGGGAAATGGGATTCTATGTGGCATTGGGATAAAAATTCAGGACTGTTCCTCCCCCTGTGAGTCATTTCCTGGCCTTGGTGGGGCTGGACCTGCCCTTGTGCTCCTGTAACTGCAGCAGGAAGGAGCTTTGAGCTTGGTTTTCATGGAGTCATGGGATGGGTTGGGATGGAGGGACCTGAAAGAGCATCTAGATCCCACCCCCCCCATGGGCAGGGACACCTCCCAGCAGCCCAGGCTGCTCCAAGCCCCATCCAACCTGCCCTTCAACACCCCCAGGGATGGGGCAGCCACAGCTTCCCTGGGCAACCTGGCCCAGGCTCTCCCCACCCTCACACTCCACAATTCCCTCCTCAGCTCCAACCTCCAGCTCCCTCTCCCACTTTTCATCCCTCCCCCTCATCCCATCCCTCCCTGCCCTTGGCCCAAGTCCCTCCCCAGCTTTCCTGGAGCCCCTTCAGGCCCTGGAAGCTGCTCTAAGGTCTCCCTGGAGCCTTCTCCTCTCCAGGCTCAACACCCCAACTCTCCCA